TAATTAGACAAAGTGTTAATTGCATTAACAATATTTGTCAAACTGAGGTTTAAGAAAAAGTCTGAAAGATTATTAGTCAAAGTTTGGGGCAATAGACCAGATTGGCAATGTTTCTGGATTTGTGGATCAAGACAAAACTCCAAATAAAAATTTGGATAAATATAAAATTAATATAATACTAAATTTTTATAGTAATGTTCACCCAATGAAAGGCATGAGAGTCACTCAGGATAGGTTACTGTTAAAGCAGTTATGAGAAATAAGGTGTGATATAAGTGGAAGAGAAAGTGGTAGTAAATGAAAATTATGAAGATGGATAGATAATTGACTCTTGTCATGAAGAGGTTAACATGAAAAGGTGTTCAATGAAGTACCTATGTCAACATCTGTTCCACAAAATAGCAGTTCTTGGGAACATGTAATCTCAGTAGAAATTTCTCTTTACAGTTGAATATGGAGGAAATTAGACTGATTTGACTCTGTGGAAGTAGAATGGTGCATCATAGCGCTAACGATTTGAGCTATGGGAAAGAAGGAAATAATGGAAAATAATTAATTCCCACAAGACAGCATAAATAATGGAACATAATTAATTCCCACAAGACAGCATAAATGATGGAAAATAATTAATCCCCCAAGGCAGCATAAATAATTGAAAATAATTAATTCCCACAAAACTGTGTAAATAATGGAAAATAATTAACTCCCACAAGACAGTGTAAATGATTTTGAACTACAGTCGGTAAGTGAGGATTGAACTACTCCTGCTCAGATATGACAGCAATGTCCATTTTTGGTAAAAACACACACACATTCTGAAGTTTGACAAACTGACCACTTGAGCATGTGTCCCATATTTGGAAAGTAAACATTCTAACCACTTAGCCATGCATCTATAAAATCTTTCCCAGAAACAGTAACTAAGGTTTGCTTAACATAATTGCAGTATAAACCACACATGGGATCAGATATTCAACAAATATAAATGTAAATGAGCAGGTATCTGCAATGGGGATTGGCTAATTTTAGAAAGAAATATTTTTAGTGAAATGCAAGATGTTCAAAGAGAAGAATACAACATAATTATTCAGCTTCAAGTTACAATATATTATGCAAAATATATATTTGTTGTTTGAATTATTATTAAATAAAAGTAATACTTCAAAAATCAAATATGTTGGTTTCAAAACTACTACATTATCATGTCATTTAACATGCCATTTATCTAATATATATGGAAAGTTTCCATCTACCTCTTAGCTAATAGACTATTTGGGATTTCAATAAATTCCCCTGTCAACATATCATAGGCTAGAGTACCAGGGCAAGGATCATTACTCCCCATGTGTGACATGTTTTTAGGAAAGTTTTAGTCCTGCAGTGGAGTGAGAAAATGACTAATTATATATAAAATATCTTGAATGTGTTGTTGATTTAATGGCTGATAGCCAAGAACAAGAAGGCAGTTAACTGAGTTTGAATTCTTGTTCAAGTTGTTTGTGTAACCCACCACTCCCTATTCAACTCAATGTAGTATTTTGCATGTTTTTGCTGATCGTCACCTCCCCAACTAAAAGACTGACATTGGCAGCAGAAATGCAACAAATGACTCAGCATGGCATTGTGACAATTTCCAAGAACATGGAATTATTTGAAGTTTTAACACACACACATACATACATACACACACATATAAGTGTGGTAGTTGCAGTCATGCAAATTGATTTATTATGTCTGTAATGTGAGAGTGGTTCTCTGTGTTGCACCAGAAGGTTTTTCTTGTATGAGTCCATCCTTCAAATCTACAAATATATCATTCTCCCTTGCATTAAATACTGTTGCCATATATGGTCTGGTGCCCCTGCTGTTCATCTTGAGGTCCTCAACAATATCCAGAGATGTATATGCAATGTGATAGGTCCTGATCTGGCATCTTGTCTACAGTTACTTTCTCACTAACATGCTGTGGCTTCCCTCTGTCTTTTCTACAAATAGTTTCATGGCAACTGCTCTGATGAGCTACTTTTACTGGTATCCCAACTGCAAGTGTGCTACTGGTTTTCACTGTCGAAACAGTTAAATGTAACTGCCTCTTCTACTCCAACAGCTTCTTCTCTTGCACTTCCCAACAGTGGAACTCCCTTCCTCTTATTTGCTTCCCTGATAGCTGTAATCTTCAAATATTCAAATGTAATGCTAATTGACATATTCTGATACCTTGATCCTGATCCCTGTCCTTCTCGATATCCTTTCCTCAAACACTATCTTTACTCTTGCTATCACTCTCTGTAACCCCTTGTGTGCTAGTAGCACTCCTGCCTTGCTTGGGGTGAAATGCTAAAACAAAAAAAAAGGAAAAGAAAGAATATAATTTTTTTTTCTGTTGTCATCATTTCATTGTTTCATCTATTGTATGCTCCGGCCTTCTTCAGGTAATAACCTTTTATTTCGCTCACTAGGGTAGACTGTTCTAGTTCCATGTTTAATGAATGTCAGTTATCAGTTATCTCCTGTTAATTCCCCTCTCCAACTTCTCCACTGCCTTAACCGGGTATTGAACTCACGCTCTTTGGGTCTTGTCACTCGATCTAACCAATGCCTTTATCCACTATGCCATGTGTCTCAGGAATATAGATAGATAATGCAAATGTAAGTAAATAAGTCTGTAGACTTCTAATAAAAAACAAAATATTTCTCTTAATTACAAGGCAAAAAAATGAATGACATTTCAATTTTCAACTTTCCTGAACTGTGAATTAACCTGAACTACAAGAGTTTATCAGTAAATCGGTAACTTGTGAAATTGTTTGTCAGCTAATCAATATTTTTATTTTCATACAAACATTCACACGTCATGAAGACACATAAATAAACAAATAAACCTTCAAAAAAACCTTAAATAATGAAATGAAGTATATTTTATTTTTTAAACATTTTTTCATAAAGAAATTTATGTTGTGCTGAGAGAATTGTAAATATAACTAAAAATCCCAGCATGCATCTGTATGATTTATCTATGAGTTTGGGTGGGAGATAATTTTAGAAATAATTCCTTTTTGATTGGAACCAACACTCAGAATGTTTCAGCTATTGTATTCACCAGACTTCTTCAGTATCTGTTGTACTTAGTAACCTTCTTGAAATATTGAGCTGAACTCTTTATTGAATACACAGGAGTAGATTATTCCTCTTCCAGTTTAACTGATTTCTCTTGTCAGTTAATACATTCCAGTCAATCTGTTTTTGTTTTGCTTGTCTTTTACTTCTGCCTAACCTGAGTATAAGACATTTCTGCACTTCACAACCTAAACATTGAACTCCCAACTGCCAGGGGAACCAGATGTTTTAACTGGCACTTTGATCCACTTGCTTATGTGA